CATCTGAGGCATGTTGCTGTAAAATAAGTTTTATTACACCAATAAAAGCTGTTACCTACTTGACCTTAATATTTTTTATTAGAAAGGTGTTGTTAACCACTAGCTACCTAAGCCTTCCTCTAAAATGTTAATAGCCATGACAGAAGGTTGTTGTAATCCCTCCCCTTCACTCTACAGTATGATGATATTAACAGTAGACTACATTGTATCATTGTTGTAAGCTACCTTCTCACAGGCCAAACCAGTTTAGCAATATGGTGAAATTAACAGTTTACTACATTAAAGTAAAGGTAAACATTACAAGATTCTAATGTTTTTCATCAGATATGTAGTATGCATATGAATCTGTAGATATATATGCAAAATTCATGAACTGACTAAATGGAAACTAAAGAAATATGTAGCAGCTAAACGTTACAAAATACAACAGCTTTGATCCCTAGCTTATGGAAGGTATGTTTCTGACCTTCCCCCAAGTCATTTGCAACTTCTGAAAAGCTTATCTAGAAGGTTGAACAATTTGGAATTGGAAAGGAAAAGGATTTTTTTCCATGCACTTCTTTAATCTAAGAATCCAAACTAGTCTATGAACATGACTAAAAAACACAGAAAATGAAACTAGTAGATAAAGCGGGGTAAAAACAGCAGAGATCAACATCTTAAAATATTACTAAAACATACAGCAGGAGTTCACCCAGTGCCTAAAAATAGCAATGATGGTATCATCCATTTGTGTGTCTAAGAAGATAGTGCCCTAATTTGCATGCCACCACAAAAAAAGCTCTTTTCTTCTCTCCAGTAGCCACAAACAATCAAGGACTTCCAATATTTTCAAAAGGCTATCCACCTGTGAACTGATCTCCAAATGTTACAGAAGATATGCAATATTAATCCATGCATATTTCCACTATGAATTACTAACAAGTGACATCTGTTATACTTTTTGAAGGTCAACTCATAGATACTTTATCTTTCTCTTTGAAAAATGTAAATGTTTTCCTTCCAACTAGACTGTTCTCTATTTTTTTTAAAGTTAGGTTTGCTGCATTCTCATTCCGCCCACCTACCCAGCTGCCTTGTCTTTTTGTCCATGCAGAAATAACAGAAATAACTAACAGTCACAGTGTTGCTGATAGATTTCAACACCATTTGTCAAGTAAGAGATGCTAACACACCAACTCAAAGCCGCAAGTTCTGCCTCAGTAGTGTCAATTCACAGAAGTTAAGCTATCAGCCTAGCATAAACTACTTGGACAGCCAGCATTTCCTTCTACAAAGCACAATCCTAATCATCCTTTCTTGGAAGTAAGAATCGCTGATCACAGTACTTAACCAGTCATAGAATCAAATTTCATATAAACTTAATAATTATGTACAGTACACACTTATTATCAAGAAATCTTGTTTAACTTGTTTAAATTAGGCTCCCTGCAATCCTTTACATTCCTGCATAGGCACAAGTCTCATGAATCAGATTTACACAATAAGCATGCATAGCATTTGACTACATAGTAATCTATTCAATGTATAAAAATAAAATTATAGTCTTGAATTTAATAGCAAACTGCCCTCAAGTATATGAATATGTCTTGCATATAAGCTTTATTTAAAGGACTCAAAGGTATCTCAGTTGTATTTTAACTTCCAGTTGGAACAAAATATGTATTCTTCAAACTAATCTAATTCACTCTTAGCAAAACTAATAGACAAACCAAAATGATATTTTTTGCACTGCTCTGAATTTTGCAATGTAACTTTCTAATCAAAAATATGTATATTGTGGAAAATGAATAAAAAGGCATACATTCAGCGAAATGCTTGAAAACTGCATATAGGGAAAACTGCATATAAAAGTGCCTAATATGTACACTTCAAAAAGCATTAGTAAACTAATGTTTAAATGAGATAAAATGAATTTGGGCTTGAACAAATGCAAATGTTATGCAAAGTGAAACAGATGTGTTCCTATTAGAATCATTGAAGGTGCTAACAGATCACCTTTCTTTTGTACAGACAGTGGATGTTTATCATTAACACAGTTACAATACTGACAGAACACATGAAAGATCAAGAAATATGGTCACTAAAAGAGCTCTTAATTATCAGAGACATAATTTAATATTTTCATCCTTTTTAAAGTATAAGGAAGAGGAAGAAGTGTTCTATCCAAAATGGTAAAGTTTATAAGATTCATGAAAACATTTATCTATTTTAAAAATCAGGATTAAGAAGCAAAATTCTCATTTTTCCCAAGAATGCAAACCAAAGTTTGATTTTTCAAATAAGGTGGCAGCTTGTTTGCTTCTTTAGAATAGGCTACATGTTTAAAAGCACCAAGAACATGCAATAATTTTTGATAGTAAAAATCAGACCCTTTCTACAAAAATAAACATCCTAGTCAAAAGTGCAAGGGATCTCTGGAACACATATCCAGGCTGCAAAAGTACATTTAGCATTAAGTCACAACTGTCTTGCATCATTAACTTTTTCAACATTGGTATTTAAAATGAAGTGTGATTCTGAAGTGAAATATCAGCAGCTATCTGCAAGTAATAGGGACTTAATAGAGCAGTCATGGAGGTTGGATTGCACTCATTAAGCAGAGGTTGAGGAAAAAGTCTACAAATCCTATCAACAGCATTGAATTCTACTACATATACTTAGTTGACTACTCAAGACAACTAGTATAGGGTGGTTACCAAGAATCTGAGCCAGAAGATATAGTTTCAGATTTAGTCACATGAGCTCTCAAATTGGAATATTGGAATAGAAATATTGACCTACTTTACAAGTTTGTTGTAAGCTTAGAGGATTGTTGTAAGGATAGATCCTTTGAACATCATATATTCACTCATAATTATATATCCAGAAATATATACATATTAAATATCACCAACTGCATACAAACCTATAGATATTCAGCTCCTAAATGTGCTATATTCACTTTGAGGGCCTTATGGAAAGTCTAACTTTTTGTCACTGCAATTATATTCATATTAACTGAAAATGTTTATTGAGTTATGGGATTACTCCCTCCGTCAGGTAAGTGTCAAGAGTATGGCAACCTATGACTGTTTTGCTACATCTTCATCCATAGCATCCACCATTCATCCAGAACATCACAGTATAACTTCCTGTCAAGAACAATTTCCCATTCAAAACAGGGGCCCAAATCTATATAACAGTTTTCTCATATACTTATACAACTATTATGCAAAGAATTGTATTTAAAAATATTCCCATCATGTACTGTAAAGGCAAGGATACAAAAAGAACAGAAAATAATCTACTAACAAAAACAGAAGAATGAGATATTTGAGCATTGCCTATATGTTGCCCTAACTCAAGGAGTTTACATAACCACTGCTAATTCTATTCTAAGTATCTCATTTTGGGTTAATTTTGGAAAACTGCCAGCAAATATTAAAGAGCGTGTGCATGTAACATTGTATTATATATATAACATATATCATTAATCCTTGTAGGAAAGGCAAGTAATAAGTTAAAACACCCAATATGAGAGAGAAAATATGATAAATTATAATAATTTAATATTCCACACAGTTTTGGTAATTCTTCTTCCAAAGCTTCCAGATTTTTATTTGCAAAAAGGCTGTCATGTAATTGTTAGCTTAAAAGGGTTGTTAGCTTGCTTGTTTTTAGCCAGTTATATTTAATCAAATACAGATGATTACAATATTTCAATCATGATTGCATAGACTGAGAACATTTACCAAAAATACTGGCTCATCATGCATAAATACATACAATGAAGCTTAGAACACTCCAAACACATTGCCTAAGCCAAGGAACATGCACATACCACACATATACCAAGGAACATGCACATACCACATTGCCATTTCACATGAAACATTTTAAAATCTTCATCTGTGAACACAATTGATTAATCAATAATGCTTTTAATACTAATGTAGTCCCTGATTGACTACAGTGGGTGGGTATTAAAACTGCACTACAGAGCAAAGTCAAGTGATGGCACCATGAGGGGAATCCCAGAGCCTATCCTGCAGAGGAAAATTGGGAGCAGAGCTTTGCCCCGGGGTGTTTCCAGGATTTTACCATTAGCTTCCACCTAAAGCCGCATGGCAACCCCTGGCATCATTTTTGAAATTCTAGAACAAAAATACACCAGAAGGGGAGGGGGATGTCACCTGTAAGGTCAGCATTTACCCCACATGTGTACATCCAGATCAAACGAAACAAAATATGCATTGACTAAATTCAACAAATGCAGACCCGGCAGCTCAGATGGGTACAGCAGGCAAGGGAAAGCTAAAGCAGAGACAGAACACGCGTCTGCGGCACCATTGCCTAACTAACATCACTCATGCCTAACTCGTGGGAGGGCTTGAAAAGAGAAAACGCATGTACAACATACCAGAAGAACACAAAGAGGCGACCTGGAGAAAGGGATGCCTGGGTGGACCCTCGTGTCTTAATCCTAAAACCCAGAGCCACATCACAGCTCCTAGTCCCCCTTATTAATCGATGCAGGATTTGACCAGCCCTTGAGCTCGCCGCTGCTCCTGCGGCGGGTGAAGGTGGGGGCCGCGCCTGTGGGGGGCGATGCCGGTGGAACAAGAAAAACACCCCGCGGCAAACTAACCCTAAAAGCCCTGGAGGAAATGGGTGATAAGGGGGGATGCTGCCCCCACAGCCTGTGCCACCGAGAGGCACTTGTGCTTGGAGTGGGAGGAGACGAGGCGCGGCGGGGGAAATGGGGAGCAACAGCCGCGGCTGGCAGATGGAGGAGTCGGGTGGGGGAAGGCGCCGAGGAAGTAGGCGGCATCTTCGGGGGCTACGGCGTGTGTGCGACGGGGGACGGCTCGTGTGGGTGGGATCTGACGCGGGGGCGTTATGAGGAGAGGGAAGAGGTGGGAGAGAAAGAGGAGACGGCTGAGGCGAAGGTGCATCCGCAGGAGAGTGGGCGACAGGTGGGACAGGTAAACGCCCCCACCCACTCGCTCTCGACTCACCGGGCCTCGCATCCCCTTCGTGCTGCCGCAGCTTTTGCCTCCTGCTACTACTGCCACCTCCGTTATGCCCACCCGCGGCAGTGCTATCAAGCGATGGCTTGCTCACGCTTTCGCCTTCATCTGCCTCACGGCTAGCTCACTTCGCTCTCACCCAACCCCGCTACCCGCTTGGAAGGTTTTGAGCGAGGTGCTGCTGAGGCTGGCCGTGCGTGTTTTTCAGTCAGTGACACTCACGCTCACCAATTGGAAAAGAGTACGGAGAGGAAAAGGCCACGCCTTGGTCGAAAGCTAACCAATCGAGACAGGTATTCCTGCCTTACGCACGGAGGGCGGGAAAGGGGCGGGCTTCGCCGCTATCGCTGCCACCAGGTCTCCCACCCGCCCGCCATTTACGCGGCGTATAGCCCCGCCCACCGCGCGCCCAGGCTCGGTTGACTTGACAGTTCCCGAGCAACGAAAGGGGGCCGGGAGGAAGGAGGGGGCGATGGCTGAAGCTGCCGCTTCGCCCTGCCTCCTCCTCTGCCTGGCAGCGGCAGCTTGGTAGTGGGAGTCGTGACTGGGAAGTAGCAGCTGCCGCCGCCGCCGCCGCCGCCGCCGCCATGGGTAGTGGGGGAGGGAGGTTTGGATGATGCTCGTGCAAGGAGGGATCAGCAGCATCAGCAACAATTGCTGTCATGAGTAAGCAGCGTATGCGATACAGACACGCACAGGTGGAGGCTCAGAATGGTGCGAAGGAGAGCAAGGCGTGATATTTTGGGGAGGTCTTATCATCCATCTCTCATTCGTGCGGCGTGTGTTTTTGTGCACTACCGATTTTCCTCTGCGAGGGTGGCTGCTACCTGCGCGCCTTCTTTTTCTCCTTTTGTGGCAACTGTTGCATATGTCAAGGTCCTTGGGCCGTGGAGATGCACTCCCTGGCTCTGCAAAAGGCGCAGAGTAAGGGACCACGTGCAGGATTATAATCTGAGTGTTCCGCCTTGACGTATTATTTCTTCCTGGATTGCTCTGTCCTTTAAAAACATGTACGTTGCAATCCGATATACATTTTCGGGGAATAAGGCCCATTGCAGTGTGAGTTTCTCAATTAGAAATTGGGAGTTACAGGTGAATAGACACATATAGCAATGCATTGTTACTACATATTTAAAAACTGAATTATAAATCCATTTAATAGAAAATAAATCACATAGCTGTCAGAAAGGGGAATATAGTTTCAGGTACTTTAAGTATTAAAGGCCTCCTATCAAAAGCCAGCTGAAGCTTTGCTATTAGTAGAAGCAAAATTGATCCTAGAGGGTGTAATGCATTTTACAAACATGCATCTCCAGAAATTCAATTCCTGTTGAACTTAATACTTGGAATGATGCTGAAATCATCCAAGTATCTTTCCTTGGAAGTAAGAGAACTTCCAGCTAGAGGGTTCCTAGAGCTACCTATATCTTCAGTGAGCTACCTGTCTGAAGGCATTGTGCAGCAATTCCCTGCTTTTCCCCTTAACTGATTTTTACAGTAAGAAGAAAAATGGAAGAACTGGTAGGAAAACACGGGGGGGGGGGGGTTACATGAGGAAGACAATGGAGCTTGTGTACTATCCTGTAGATGAGTCAGGGCAATGGTGTGATAGAAATCTTATCTTGAACCATGCTGGGCCTCAGTCAAATTAGTTGGAGTTTCTTCTAAGTCAATATTGTTAGCATCCAGAGACTATTTCCTGTATCCAAACAACTGGTGGGCTGGAATATGAAACATTCAAATAATCAGCATTTGAAATTTGGTGAATTATAGGGGTGTATTCTTGACTTGTGGATTTGTCTAATCAGACATATTGAAAAGGAGGAAAATATACTTTCGATGTATAAAAGAAAATATACAGTAGGTCCATAGGAAACTGCCTCCTACCAATTTGTTCATCTAGTTCAGTATTGTTTATTTTGGCAGCAGCTTACCTGAGTCTCAGGCAAAGGTCTTTTAAATCACCGGTTGCCTGAACTTTTAACTGGAGATGCCTGAGATTGAATCTGAAACCTTCTGCAGAGCAGGTGCTCCACCATGGAGCTATAGTCTTTCTCCACATGAACTAGAATATTTTCAAATAATATCAATTCAGAGCCTCAGCAGCTTATATGGTTATATTGGTTTTAGGAGCAGGGAGAGTTAATATAACTTCAATATTATATACTTCAGTCAATTACATGCATGCTGCTATAAGAACATGAGATCCCTGCTGCATCAGAACTAAGATTTGGACTAAGTTTGAAATCTTCAGAAATCTTCACAATCCCTTTTTGCTCTTACTACTCTGGATAAGCTGGCAAACCTAGCCATGTCACTACTGATTCCTAACTCCTAATAATTTATGAAAAGGTTAAAAATATAAACCCAAGTACAGAACCTCAGGAGCCCACTTCCCCATTTTGTGATCTGTCCATGTATTCCAACTTGAGATTTTTGTATACTGCCCCATTACCCTAGACTCTGGGAAGGTTACAAGCATTTCAAATGAACATCAATTCAAATTTAGACAAAGAAGTTAAGACATTTTAATTTATTAAATTTATTTTAATGTTTAATTTATCAAAAGTCCTGTCAGAAGAGACATAACTTTAAGCTCCTTTTGAAGATGGGATATCTGATGCATCTCTTCCCCCAAGCTTTTCAACAGTTTAGCAGTGACCACTGAGAAAGTCAATGGGGGTTAATGTTAATCTTGCAGAAGCAAATTTCAGAAGATTTCCCCAGAGGACTATAGTGGGCAAAGCAGACCTGAACCACGAAGCACTTTCAGGTATTGCCAACACCTTGTACTACATCTGGAAAGCAATGGGTGATATGTGGGCTTTAAACAGTTAACAGTCTGTCAGGTCCTCTCATTCCATGGCTGAAAGGTTTAGTCAGGAGTTTTTATAAGATACTTTGTTCATAAGTTTTAAAAATCAAAAATGTCAGATTACCTTTACACATGCATGCACCCACACACAGATATATTTAAGTTTACAAAGTCAATGAGCCAGGACTTACCTTTGCAGATACCCTGCTGATTTTTATGCAACTATTATTAGGTATTTTTATAATACTTTCCACATTCTCATACAGAATTATTAAGTTATAATTTTCTGGTTCACCGCAGATACCTTTTTTAAAAAATAAGTGTTACATCAATCACTTTCCAGTCTTCTGCTAAGTCGACCAGTCCAAGGGGCAGGTCAAATATTTTTGTTAGAAGACTGGGATTTTCGCATTGAGGAGATATCTCCAGATGGGGAGCTCCTTTCTTCAAAATGACTTCCTCCTTCCCTGGTACTGTTCCATATACCTTCACTAAACAGCATTGTTCAGGAAAATTCTGTTAGTCTAGTGTACCTAGAAAGGCATTTCATGTTACTGAAAAGACAGCAGTTATTGGAAAGAAAGTATAAATGACCAGAAAATTTAATATAAGAGAGCCAGCGTAGTGTGATGCTTAGAGTGGAATAAGACTGGGTACAATCTTCTTTCAGCCGTGAAACTCACTAATCTACCACACAAGATTGTTGTGCAGATAAAATGGAGAGGGTGAGGATCTGGTATACCACCTTGGGCACATTGAATAGGCAGAACATACATGTAACAAATAAATCATTCTAGCATTAATGTCTCCAACCAGCTTAGCACTAGCTCTTCAATACTGAGAGTCAATTTGTATTAAACTGTTCCAGTTTCACTGGGATTTAGTGGTCAATTTATCATGAAAAGAAGTCTGTAGTGTGTATTCTTTCTTATCAAAGTAGTGTATTTCAAACTATGTCTGTTCAGCTTCCTGAAACCCTAAGTGAAACCATGCAGTATGCATTATTAATATTATCAGGCAGATAAAAATACTGTGATATTAGAGGATTTTTTTTTCAGATTTGCATTTCACTGTTAACTTTGAACAACAACTAGATCATTCCAAGCAAACTCATTCAACAACTTCCACATGCTATCAGGAAAGCAGGAACAAACACCCATGAATACCCACGATAAAGCAACTCACAAATGGAAACACATTCCAGCTGCAGTCCTAACAATATTTAGGGAAATATACTGAACTCAGTAGGACTCCTTAGTAAACAATTTAGGATTAAACAGGCAGGTACTAGCAGAGGAATGGGGAACTGTGACCTCCAGATGTTATTGGACTACAGTTCCCATCATTTCTGACCATTGGCCATGCTTGTAACAGTTGGTCCAAAAATGTTGAAAGGGCTTTACAATAACCGTTCCAAACTGCTTACACTGTATTACTCTGGAGGGTGCTATGAACATGGTTGGCGCTGTAAAATAAAGATAAAGAAGCGGAATGGCAAGTAGCCAAGTCACACACTTAGGCCACCCAAACAAATAAAGCAGATACTATCTAATCTGACCTAGGGCAATATTCCTTCTCTCTTTCATGCATGTAGATCTGGATCAGAGCCATGAATATTAAGTATGTGTCTAGCAATGTAATCCTGTACATGTGTACTCAGGAGTCATTCCTATTTAGTTCAGTTGGTTATAGTCCTGGGTCAACAAGTGCACAATTGCTTTGAAAAAACTCCCATATAAAGTGTTAAACTTTGGGTATATCACCTATCAGCAGACCTTTAAAATGTTCTTTATAATTTTCATGCAAGCATTACATGTGTCTGAAAGCTTGCAAGATGTGTAAATTTAATGGCATTCTGATCTTAAATTGGATGTAAATATAGGATGAGATGCATTTTTCATATGTTTTAATATTCAGTATATCATGAAGTATACTTTTATTTCAATCCCACTTTGAAAGAAGGCTTTCATGAAAAAAAAATAATGCCTTTTACTCCCTTGTTTATATTATTTTTGAATTTATAAATGTGTATTACATGGAATTACTGGCACACTTAGATTAATTCACCATGGAAATATAGTTCTTTAAAACAAAAGATCTTATGGTTGTTCAGTGACTGAGATATGTATTATTAGGACCTCCAAATGTTATGTGCATCTCAGCTAGACTCTTTTTGTGGTCTTTCCTACAATAGAAAACTAGGTTAAGAATAGAAATAGAATACAATATTTTTCTACAATAGAAAAATAGGTTAAGTATAATTATGAATATTAAAATGCTAGTGTTTAACATGTATAGCATTGATTAGTTAAGTCTTCAGAGAGTCATAGGGAATTCAAGCAACATTTTAAACACCACTTGTCAAAATACCTACAGCTGTCTTGATTTTAATAAATGCCTTCCTTTATTTCATTTCTATAATCTAAAAAGGGCAAATATCATTA